CCACCAAAGATTACCTCGTAAAGAACACACACACAACACAAAAAAGGAAACAAGTAAAGGCGCTAGTGCATAATATAAAAGGCACAATAAAGCAACAAGATGCACATTTGAAGCTAACAAAGGCACATTCATTAACGGAGAAAAATATCCAGACTACAAAAAGATTGGCAGGCAATAAGCTAACACATGCACTACTATGGGCTTAGACAAACTTTGCTTACGCTACCCTATATATGCTTTCTAAGCATTTATAAAACTGCCAAGAGAACATATCAACATGCTTGAGCATTCATACGTCTACAAAAATAATTATAAGGAATCTTCATACAACCCTAAAATAATTTTCTAGCCCTTCAAAAAAATTACACCACATCTCCTTCCTAGGACTTTGAGACACAACTTTGGCGCACCACCCTAGGTCAAGTGAAAATCAACACATGCCCCAACTACAACTATTATGTATTTAGACTCCCTATTGTACATATATAAAGGTTTAGGTTGGCACAACTGAAGAAAACAAGGGCATGGACTCAGGCTTGAAGCTTGGATCGTGACACTTTGCAATGCAGTTTCAAGTTTAGATGTAATCCTTATCAACTCATACTGATGCATTTTGGCTAAGTTTTGGATTAAAACCCCTTAGAATAAACGATCGTAATATGTTTGGGACATATGGATATGAAAAGAAACATCAATCCATTTTGTTTTGATGTGGTGTTGATTTGAAACATCTATTAAATGAAAAATATAGCAAAAAGTTTTCAAACTCAGTTTTTTTTTTTTTTTTTTTTTTTTTTTTTTTAATTTTAATATAAAGAGAATGAACCTTCAGTCTCTTTATTGGGACAATGCGACCTAAGTTGCTAGGGTGTCCCCTAGGGAACCTAACTGAGATGCTTTCTGGAAAAACCTTACAAAATTCCTAAAATACACTAATGCAATAGCTATTCAATAAAACTAATTTTGGAGCTTGGCGTTGTTATGACTGATATGTATTGTGTAGTGTTAAATTTATACCATACCAAGAAATAAAGAATAGGCTGGTACACAGTATAGAAGTTGAGGGTCACATGGAGCATAGCCCATGAATCAATATATGTAAAAAATTAATGTATTATTGATTAATGTATATTGTGTTTACAATGAGTCCTATATATAGAAGATTAAAGGAGGTAGGTATGTAGTAGGTGGAGTAGTAGGTGGAGTAGGTGAAGTGGGTAGAGTAGGTGTGGTGGTAGGTTTTGGTACATTTTAACAGCCTCCCGCAAACTCAAGGGGGATAGGAACTAACCAACTTGAGTTTGGAGAGACTAATAAAACAAGAAAATAATCTGAAAAATAAAAAATGGATAGGAGACACTGTATGGTCGTGTCAGACCGTTGTAGAAGACTGTATGGTTATGGCAGACCGATGTAGAAGACAGTTTATGGGGTCATGTCGGACCGTTGTAGCAGACAATGTTGTGACAGTTGTTGTGACAGTTTACGGAGTCTTACTGGACCCTTGTAAAAACTAACCGGAATCAATGTCGGGACAGTTTACAGAGTCTTGTCGGACCCATGAAGGAGCTAACCGGAATCAATGTCGGGACAGTTTACAGAGTCTTGTCGGACCCCTTAAAAAGTCGCACCCTCAAAAGGTGCGCCCTATTTTTCAAAAAGGCGTACCCAATCCATAAAAAGGCGTGCCATCAAAAGGCGTGCCCATGTTGTCGTTGAGCGCCGAACGACGCATGATGCGCGTGTCTGCCTTGGCTATTTAACCAAGGTTGAGGCAGAGGCTGTGCAAACCAGTCTGAAACTGCCGAACATTTGCATTCTGAAATACTCTGTAAACACTTGGTAACCAATCCTTCTCTGAAAGTACCAGTCGGAAAGTTATGGCGCGATCCATTCCGGCGAGTATATCGGCGCCGAAGCAGTCGGTTAACCAGCAGACTTTGTAAGCCGCGACGCGCGCTCTCGTCGCTATCCCACGCGCCGTCCTGCTGGCGTAGCCGAGGAGGCGCGCGTTAGTCACATTGGCTCCTCCGGCTGTGGTCTTCGGATCGTTCCCCGAAGCCATATGGTAGCCTCTCGAGAAGCTTCGAGCGCCGATCAATTTTTTGTTGCAGAGTTTAGGGCTGAAATCGGAAGCCAACTCGCACTCTCCTCGCCACCGTGAAGGAACGTCCGGCATACCGGAATCATCAAAACTCTTCGATTCCGGCCAAACTCCGATAACGAGAACCCCAATGATAACATCCTGAGAAGCGTGGTTCAGCTCTTGCGGTGTGTGACCATCCCATAAACCCATCTGGGTGTCGAGACCAAGAAACTCAGGGGTTCGAGTGGTGTGGAGGGTGTAGACGGTGTCTTCGTAGACTCCGAGGACTGAATCGGAGTGGCGGAAGAGATCGGCTTGGTGTGGGTCCAGAGAGGCGGCGAAGCCGTGGTAGGCGGTGGTGATTTTGTTGATGAGTTAGAAGATGCAGGAAAGTGAAGGTATGTGTAGAGAATTTTAGCAGACTAGGTTGAGGTCCGGCAGGCGGCCAAGGTGAGGTTGCCGCCCGCCGGTGAAGCGAAAATACTAGGTTCTAAACCTGCTCTGATACCATGTAAAAAATTAATGTATTATTGATTAATGTATATTGTGTTTACAATGAATCCTATATATAGAAGATTAAAGGAGGTAGGTATGTAGTAGGTGGAGTAGTAGGTGGAGTAGCTGAAGTGGGTAGAGTAGGTGTGGTGGTAGGTTTTGGTACATTTTAACAATATATAAATGTCAAATGGGCTAAAACCTTGTGGTCTAAAGGAGAAGGCTTAATCACTATCTTTGCCCTCAATGGTGCGTGATGTGCAAGAGGAGTTCGGAATCGGCGGATCATCTCTTTTTTCATTGTTCGGTGGCTATACAATTATGGCAGCGTCTATTTGGTTTGTGTGATGTTAAATGGGCTGCTCCACGGGGATTGCACACATATGCTTCTTGTTAAGTTTGATGGGTTCGGCAGCTCTAAGAAAGCCAAAATCTTGTGGTCTTGTATTGTTTGTGCTATTTTCTGGATTATTTGGCTGAAAAGGAATTCAAGGATCATTGATGGAAAGGAGGCTGTTGTAGATTCTTTGTGGGATAGGGCTGGTTTTTTGGCTTCATTTTGGGCTTTTGTGTCTCCTCCGTTTAAAGGAGTTCCACTTTTCTTGATTTCTAGGGATTGGTTTGCAGTTTGCAACCCCTAGTGTTTGGATTTTCTTATTTTCTCTTTCTTTTTTGATAATTGTTTTTATTCTGATTGGGTTTTTGTTCATTGTATGAGGACTTCTTGTCCTCCACACTTTCTTCTTTAATAAAACTTCTTGTTGACTTTCAAAAATATATATATATATATAAATGTCAAAAACATATTTTGAGGATCAGATGGTGCATATTCCAAGATACCAAATTATCTTTGCCAAATGCGTTAGGGAGCTTTTCTACGCAAACAAAGTAATTCCCTGTACTTCTGGATACATATTTATAATCTATGCATAACTATCAGGGAATACCCACCCAAATTGTGTATTCTATGTTGCATGAATGAACCAAATTCTTCAAGTTTGAACAACCCTAAGCGGTATTTTCTGTTAATAGAATGCAGAAATTTCAAAGATCAAATTTAATAAGATTAGCTTCTTGAGTAACTCCAACTTGAATTGAAAGTTTATGCATTTCAGATAGGTAAGAAATTTTACAACAGTTGTCTGTTGCATATAACATTATAGTAATTTCAATAAAGAAGCAGCACTTTAGATAACAATTTCTGAAAATTTACTAGGAAAAAGTAGACAAGCTTTTGAAAATTCAAGTTTATTTTGGTAGAATAGATGTTTGCTTCCAAATTCTAGATTTCTCTTATTGAATGTCTTTCCGCCATCTTTATACAGTTTCAGGCTTCACAGTAGCTATACATTCTCAGAGAAAAATCAAAGAGAAAAGACTTAACATTTCTGACAAAGACTAAAACCAAAGTCTATTAAATTTAACATTCTGTTCACTCCAACCATCATTCATTGAGCATGAAAGTAATAATTTGGGTTAATGCATATAAAAAAAAATGCAAAGTAATTAAACTCAAAAACTCCATCAAAACCTTGTGCAAACAATTTGGGGTTAGACAAAAACAAATTTATTTGCTCTATCAAGGACCCATATCTTCAATTACATGATAAAGTAGCCATGATATTCTCTGTGCCTTAACCAACAGTCCTTTCAAGGTTTTCCCTTTCTTTGGAGGTCCTCCAATCCAAGTTGAACTAGATAAGTCCTTCCATGCACTCCGGTCCATTTCACACATGGGGAAATCACAGAAAATGATTGAGACAACTAAAAAAATTACCACAATTTACCTACAATGACATGACATGTTATATTTCAACTTTTGAGTTGTTACAAACTTTGTCATGCAAGGCCCAACTCCCTTGCCATGTAGCATAAAAAAATCTCTAGTTTTAATGCACTATTTTTTATTTTCCTCAACATCCACATTTGAGCTTCACTTCTGCATACAACTCAAAAGAATTAATCCCTTATCCTAATTCAAACCGAGAAAGATTCAATTATTATGAAACCTAATGACCTCTCAATCTTAACCTGAAATGCTACTCACCCAAAATTAGCTGCCAAAACAAAAAAAAAAAACTTATGAACCCACTCCACTAAACACTTAAAAATACTTTTTTCCATAAAACCCAATCTCACATGTGAGCTATGACCTACTTTAAACCTAATTTAAAGACCACTACTAACCCATCATAGAAATCCCACAAAATTATCACTAAACCCCAAAAAATTATGTAAAACCCAGTTTCCAAAACCCCCCCCCCAAATTATCACAATCTCAGTTCTTTGCATAGGTGATTCATCAAATGTACAAATGCAGAAATATATAACACATAATAACACACGTAAATATACAAATTTAAATACCCATTAATACAGATGTGTATCTATGATGAGTGAAAAATGGGAAAGTACAAACCAGCGCAGGATTTGATAGTGTGGATCTTGAGAAGTAAGACGAGAACACTGGCGAGATGGGTCATGTCCCCTGCTAATCTGAATATATTCATGTTTTGGTCGATTGATAGATATACGTATGTGTGTGTGGATCAATCTGAATAACTTGGACCTCGAAAACAACAGATCGATCTACCCAGAAATTGATTTTTTTTTCTTTTTTTCTTTTCCCACCAGATCTCTTATTGAATATTTTCCTTTTGTTTTCTTTGTTTTTCTCTTTAATTTCCCTTCTTCGTAAACCAGTGGTTTACTGGAGAAAGAAGAGGTAACGGAATAGTAACGTTTGACAATTTACTACATGGGATTTGGGTTAAAAAACAAAAATTTACTACATGGGATAGATGCTCCGGTATGTTTGGATTGTCTTTTAAAATACAAAAAGTCAGGCACCCGTAGAATCGAACATAGATCCCAATATAAAAATTGTACATTAGGTTAAGTGGTGAGACAATCGGTTAGACCTTATCGATTGTGACTGTTATTTTTGTTAGAGTTTGTTAATCGTGACTGTTATGTATCTTTCAATCGTCCTATGAAATTGTTTGGCTTTTTATGTGTGTAATATTACTGTTTAAAATATATATTTTTTAAAAATTCAAAAATATATTTAGTTGAAAATAATTTTTAAAAATTTTAAAAAGTATTATTATTTTTTTTACTATACATCAATTAATTACTTTTTCTCAATCAATTTTTCTCTCACGCCTATCTATTCGATTACAAAAAAAACTATCAAATCATTTCAAATTCTAAAATTTCAAAACTATTTTTAAAATATAAAACTAAATAAATTTTTAAATTTTCTAAACTCTCTCTAAAAATTTATTTTTAAAATAATATCTCAAAACGCAAATCAAATAATGCCTACATTTTTACTCGCATTGAAAATCCCATCTACCATCTGGCCAAAATGGATTATGGTTGGATGTTTATACCCTTTTTTCTATTTGTACATAAATTAATTATAAAATTAAAAGTTAATTAATTATATTTTTAATCTTCAAAACATATTGAATTAGATTAATTGATGAAAAGTTCACTTATAGGGTCATATATTAATTGATTCAATGTTTAATTTATTTGGTGATAAAGAGGCGCGTTGAAAGGTCACATATAATGGTGCAATAAACATATAGGTAATATTGGACAAATAATATATAGGTAATATTGGACAGATAGGGAAATAGATAAGTGACACGTGGACAAATATGTGACATTTGGATATATAATTGGCAAATAGATGACGCGTGCATAAATATGTGACATCTGAATAGATAATTGAACAAATAAGTGACACATGTACTGTACATATATGCGACATTTGGATAGATAGATGACTAGGTCCCAAAAGCAAAAGTCACCAAAAAATCAATTATGATTTTGGAAAAATTACTAATCTTCTCACAGATGTGGTTTACAAAAATAAGATTTGAATCAAAATGAAACCCAAACCCGCCGACATCTTTGCTGACATTCCTACCACTGTTGCCCAACTCCATCATTGCCACCGCTGCCTTCTTGAATGTTACGGCCAAAAGTTAAAATGGAAGAAGAAAAACACCTACAACAATAACAGAGGAGGAGTAAGTAAAGAGGGAACCATAGAGGAGAAACTCTTAAACCCCTCTTCCTATGTATAAAAAAACCTAGATCTACACTATAAAAGTGTTTTTGAAACTAATGGAAAAATGTCAAAAACTGATCGAAGGGGCACCAAAAATTGCTTAGAGACCCAATCTTGTTGCTTTCGTTATGTATAAGATGACTAACACAAAGTATGGTATTGAAAATCTCACAATTGGAGTCAGTTATATTCGACTACCAATCCTAATCTCATTGTCAAAGCACATGATAGACCTTTATTTTATTTTATTTGATTTATATATGATATTATAATAAATTAAATTTATAATAACAAAGATCAAATGCAATATCAACCAACAAAAGGAAAAAACCTTTCAAAGTATGAGAGAAAATCTCAATAAATAGATGAGAAATAAGACCCATATACAGATAGGAAAATTTGAACCACTAACATTCTAGTAAGATACAAGGGTTCTAGCTAGGGTTGGGTATCGACCTGTTAGACTGCCCAACCCATCCGGCCCGATCCTATTCTTTTTAGGATTTACAAAAATTATTTTAGCCCATATATTAATAAGTTGAATTAAGGATTTATACTTAAAATATGTAAATCCCTTAGCCTTCTAATTCCTACAATCAAATAATTTACAGTTTGTCCCTTAAAATTTTACCTAAATTAATTCTCACTTGTATTCTTAAATAATTATTTTTCTAATTTTACTCTTAAATTATTCACTAGTTTTTTTTTCTTTCTTTCTAATATGACCTAATTGGCAACGGATGTTAATACATCTGACATAAAAATGCCACATGGCATTAACTTGAAGGATAATTATGACCTTCTATTTGCCCCATCAGTGCCGAAAGCTACTATTTGCACACAGTTTTACATTTGAGCACAATACCTTTAAAGACAAAACTAAAAAAAAATCCTAGTGTGGGGATATATTTTTTGAATACTAATACGTGGCAAGGTGACGTCGACGTGTCAGTCGAGGTGTCACGTGTCCTGGTTGTGACGCCGAGGTTATCTCGGTGAGGCTGAGGTTATCTCCGAAAATATCGGAATCCGAGATAAATGGATAAGGGGTAATAGTCCTAGAGTAAAGAGAGAACTTTGCTAAGATAATGATAAAATTCTTAGAGAGTTTATCTTTATCTCTTGTGAAATTCAAAGTAAACACTAAATGGGAGTCCATAGAAGTCAGGCTTCTAGTGAGATTAAGATCGCAATTTATGCTTTTGATACTCAAGCTTGTGAGTTTAACACTTGATTTATCTTTGAGAGATATACTGACTTGATCGTCGGAGTGCCCCCGGGTGGTTGAACCACCGCCGGAGACTTCTCTTTCTGTTGCAGGTTAGTTAGAGGCCATCTATTCTTCCAGTGCTTTTCCAACTAAATACTAGGCGGGCAGTGTGATCAGAAAATCACTCACACACCTAGTATATCCGACTTCTCCCACTTGCCACTACCTTTCCAGCCCCACTGGCCACCACCTTTTAGTTTCCCTCTTCTTTTTTCTTAACCACCCTTCCTAGCTCCCTTTCTCTCCCCGTGTCACCAAGCTATTTGGGTTTGTAGTTATGGGATTTGGGAGGTTGTGCTAATGAAAGTTGCAAGAAATTTGGGCATTGATAGTGGGTGGGTTTAGTGTATGGTACAAGTAAGACAAAGGGGGAGGGTGGTAGTGGGAATGAAGCATGGTAATAGTAATAGTACTATTAGGAGATAAGTTGAGGTATAGGAGAGGTGGGGGAATGGATGAGATGGGAAAGGAGTTGATCATAGGGAGCAAGGGTAGCAAGAGAGGTCATGGGAGGGTTCTTTTGAGGTAGGGGTTAAGATAGAGAAGGGAGGTCAGTGAGGGTTTGGGTGTTGGCCATGGTGTAGGTATGGAGGTAGTGGTGAAGGTATGACATTAGTGGTGTGTGTGCATGTGGTGGTAGTGGAGGCAATGGGTGTTGATTTTAAGGCGTTAGTAGTGGTGGTGACGGAATATGATAAATGGTGCTTGTGTAAAAAGAAATAGAAATGCGATGAAGAATTGATTATTAGTGCTTGAGCAAGACGGAGGTAAATAGTAGGGTGAGGAGGAAAAGATAAAAAGGTGGGTAACTTAATAAATCAATTAATAGTAAGAATTCAATTAATGTCGTGTAAATTTAGAAATTCAATAAAGTATAAAGGATAAATAAAGACTTTCGATTTTTTGTCCATTATTTTATAGGCTTGCAAGCGAATGATACATGGCTGTCAACTAAGTTAGAAATCACATTGAAAAAAAATCCAAATTAAAAAATATTTATCTCAAAGCATGTGTGATCTAGATTTTTTTATCCACAGGTTATATAACCATTTACATTGCAATTTTGAATATGACCTGCTATGATCTTAAAAATGAAGAAACAAATGTGATTTTAAAATGTTGAATTGACATTATGCTTTTGTGATTTTTATGCACATGTCGGTGAAAAAAAATTTGTTAGGTAGTGGATCAACAGGTCTTAACCCAAATTCACCAAATACAGACCGAATGATTGTGTGAGGTTCTAATATCTTGACAAATCAAAGATTTCTTTCGAACTATATATGAGACAGAAAGCAATTGCAAATAGAACTAGAAAGAGAATTTTTATTAATAGACTTCTGAGGTCATTTTTTATTTTTATTGGCCTTGTTTGGGAACATATTTTTTTTAGTAATTTTTTGACTTTTTAACTAAAATATGATGTAAAAAAAAATTAGTATGTTTAGGATGAATTTTTGATTTTTTACGAAAAGATGTATAAAAAGTAGAGAGAAAATAGAATTTTTAATTTTTCGATATATGTTGTTGGTTTTTTAATTTTTTTAGTGACTTTTTAACTTTTAGGCTAAAAAGCGATGTTGCCAAACGAGGCCCAAAAAACTTATCATTTGGGCAAAAGGTCATTTTTTCTATTTTTCCTGCTTTTATGGTCATGTTTGTTTGGCTCCATAGGTGGGGGGATTGGACTACCAATCTTGTGGGCCCTACATAACCCATGTTTGGTTGACAAAAATAGAAGGAGATTAGTAGTCTCCTGAGATTATGAATTCCCTCACACAGAGGGATTAAATTGGCTGGATTTTGGTTGGGATTAGAAAAATAGTGAGGAAATTGAGTCTATTTTATATAAAAAATTTATTTTGTTAATTTTATTTTTTTTAAAAGTGCACAAGTTTGTTTTAATATTTGTTTTAATTTTTTTAATATAAAAATAATTTATTTATTTATTTTATATAAAAATAATTTAATAATACCATCACTAATCATCTCTCACACAATCATCAAAAAAAATATATTTTTACTTAATTTCCTCATTAATAATTCCAGTATTAACAATTTCTTAATTAATAATTATTTTACTAATAATTTTATCTAATTTAATGTGGCCAATAGTCTCTCTCTTTGTTGATAACCAACTGCTGACCTCAACAGCCAACCATGGCGGTTCCTGTCTATCCAGTGTGTCACGTGTGCTTTGTGCCTCTTCCATGTTATGTCTATCGACATACCGACATACCGTGATACAAACTACACAATTACTCAAATTTTGACTTCATAGCACTATTCGAATCGAGTTAGCTGATTCAATGGTGAATAGTGCGATTTTAACAATTATGTATGACTTTGAAATTTAATGAGCCAAT